CCTAGGCATCCTATGATGGCCCAAAATGGTACGATAGCAGCCATGAAGTCAACACACAAGGCTGGTTCAAAATTTAAACAATGAATTTTGAACTTTTAATGATACCATTGCATTGAAAGATGGAATAACTGTAACAACTAGGATGAAAAGGACTGTTTTCAACTGTTCAGGACAAAATATGAGCATTTTGCAGTTGATTCTGAATTTTTATTTTTATTTGCAAATCAGAAAAAAATGAAGCGGGCGAATCCGTTAACCAAGAAATTGAATTGGTGTGGCCTTATTGTGAAGTGCACAGAGGCTAAAATTTCTAACTGGCAGCTACATGTATGGTAGATCTTTGTGACAGCAAATAGCAAGGATCTGTCCTGCCACCACCTCTGTTAGAAGGCAGGACCAAAGGGTACAGGCCAGCTAAGATCCTAGTAGCGTTATATCATAATAAAGTTACACACTTGCCAAACTTTCACAAGTAGATGTTAGAGGTACACGTTAGAAATAGCTAGAACAGCAACACACTACTACCCACTACACTACCCTCACTTGGATATTTGCCTAACAAGACAGTGATACAGTTAATAATCCAATATTAACATGTGAAAGTATGTATATATATATATATACCATATGTTCTATCTGTATGTTGTATAACAGATTATGTGCTCTTGTTTAAATGCAACGGTGCAGCCCAAAGCTGTGATGTAGATGGCAGAGTTTGTTATTGTTTGGTAGCTGTACAGTACAAGAAGTATAGAATCCATACACTGCTTTGTTAGGATAATATATGTGTGTGTATATATCATTAAAGATGTTCTTAGTACCCAAATCACAGTACAAGATACCCCTGCCAACACGATATGCATGGCTACACGTTAGATAGTATTACCAGTAGTAGTAGTAGTAGTAGTAGTAGTAGTAGTAAGATAGGTATCTAAAGATACTATAAAGGTGTGTAAAAGAGTTATTAGGTAATCTCATGTCAAATGTCAACGTACATGCACGTCCATGTACACGTATAATAATCAAGGCAAACTAGACATTCACTCTCTCAGCTCCCTATTGGATATTTGGTAACCAATGCCTAGTTAGGTAGCAAAAGTTTGGTTAGTATTGTTAACGGCTGGGTTGACACTAAATGTATAGTGAACATTTACCCTCTAACGGGAAGCTTACTATTGAATAAAATAATATTCTCCTTAAATTTGTAAAAAGAAATCTTCCATAAATACTGCTATATTTGATATAAAACAATGCAACTATAAAACACGCAAAAAAAGGATTTCGTAGCACCACTAAATACCGTTAAAATTCTTTTGGATGGTGGATAATTATGATATATAAAAAAAGCAACATTTGACACAAATCAAAATGCACCAACCTGTAGTGACAACATATTATGAACCACATACTTAGATATGACAACCTGTGTGCACAAAAACCAGTAAAAGACTATATACTTGGGTATATTCCTGAGTACACATATACTGTTTTTATTTTAATACTGCCACACTAGCTAGTTATAAGAGCACACCAAATACATTTTGCATAGTAACCACAATATGCAAACTAACTACTGTGCAGTAATCTATTGAACTGTACCTGACACAGTACAACACCTTTTGCACAAGACTTGCCAAGTTTGACCACCGTCTTCTGGTTGGAGATCTCGAAACAGTCACAAGAAATTAAAACAAAAAGCTACCCTGCTCTTACCTGATCTGGCATTTCATATGAGTGTGCAGTTATCTCCAGAAAGTGAAGGCATTCAAGAAACTGAAAACATCGCCTCCTTTGTAGAAGTTTTGGAGCAACAGCATTTATTTTTGTGGATGGGCACTGACAGGCATGACAGGCATACACTCCCTCCGCAGCATAACTCAATCTGCTGCATTAGAGAGTCTTTAG